GCCGAAACGTCGTGAGAATTTTTATTGTGTTATTTTATTTTATCAATGTATTATTTTATTCTCATTCTACGTGACTTTACCGAAAGAACCAAAGATGAATCCTTGCAGTCATGAAAGCTTTAAATCGAAATGTATATTCTAATGTATATTATTCGCGTATTGATGTACGTTATCACTGTATTATGGGGTGGAATAGTGGTGCAGTGGTTTTTTGTCGCGCACTACTCACCTGCTGAACCTGGTCACCTGAGTTTGACTCCCTGGCCTGGTCATGTGGTGAATGATATCTTCATCAGCCCTGGGATCTCTCTCCCTGCCTCCCACCATATTCACAAATCTGCACTAATCAGAGTGGCGAAGTAGGTCCAAATAACTTTCATGATCAACATGGTGTGTAAAGGGACTTCAGCAATGGATTGATGAAGGGCTTTGAATTATAATTTGCTTACCTATTCGGTGTATATTTTTGTTTATTCCGTGTCGGTACACGACATGTATGGGTGTTGCGCGTCCGAATTCTATTTGCTTTGGATTGCACACGACACTGCAGCAGCAGGGTATGGCTTTTTTTTAGCGAGCATTGCATTAGTGCTGCTGACGCTGCTGCTGCTCTGATGATTATGATCACAATGGGATAATTCATACGTTGCCAATCGTGTCCCGCTTTTAAAGCAAATTGTTCGTACATTTGGCATTCACGCCGTTCCTATAGCACAAGGGCTTCAGATACGCTCTGTATTACATACGAGTATGGTCTGGCAGTAGAGGGCGATGTTGTTACGTGGTTTTCCGTACTTAGATAATTTATTCGGTAAATTTGGACAGTGACGTCGCCGCCACCACACGTGGCCAACTCCCTTTTTGGAATACGGCAACGTCACTAAATCTTTAACGTTCAATGTGAGGCAGACGGCACGTGTCTGCGCGTAATGCACATGCAGTATTAACCAGGGCAGCCACCGGAATCTCACCAAAAACCTCTGCAACAAGCGGCACGTGCGTTACAGCTTCGGCTGTAGTCACCGCAATCAAGAAAGCAGTTACCGTGGATCAAACATGCTAATCCAAACTATTTTCAGTACGTTGTGAATTTTACTGCTAATTTAAAATGCACGGCTATAAAATAGATGGCTTTCATTAATTGAATGTCTTATCAATATTTAACATTGATGTGTTATGCACTCATGTGCACCATGTTCAAAGTAGTGAGCAGCAGAGGGCAGGGCAGCCAAATCCATTGTGGTACTGTACTTCTATGCATCTACATCTATGCTCCCCGCCATCATCAACCCCCACTGAACCAGTGTGATAGAAGCATTAGGGCCTCTCATCCAGCTTTGGATTTGCAAAGAGGGCAGTACGTGGTCACGTGCCAATGTGCAGCATATCGTTTTTATATTCTCCTTTCAATCCTTGCAAGTTGATTGTTTTACTTCTTTGAACATATGCACATTTCCCATGGTATTTCCTTTGTGAAAGTTATTGCTACATTATGTTGTCTCAATGAAATCTGGGCTGTCACATCATGTGACCCACAACACCAGTTCCACATTCCACCCCTAGGGTGCGCGCTTCTGCTTGTACAAGAGAATGCCGAGTTTATAAAATGCTTTCAAATGCGTTTCTAATTATCAAGAGGAGAAACGACCACCTTTTTAAACACGGAATGTGTCCCTTGTTTATTGCAACATAAATACATGTATTGCTAAATAAAACATGCAAAAAAAATGTGGCCTTGAGCAGGATAAATGTCATCGAATGTGAAATATTTTGGATCCATCATTTCGAATTTCCAACCGCGTCTTTGTACGAATGAACAATAGTTGCTCGAGCAAACGGCATTACATTGGAAACCCAGTCTCTGACTTTGCCTATCTCATTTCCCATTCATTAGCCAGCATCTTCTCCTCTCGCCGCGTCTTCCCAACACAGCCGAACTACAACACCCACCCACTACTCACTGATCCATCCGGTTGCTTCCTCTCATTCCTCCAGCGTCTCACCACACTTTGATCGCATTCCCCGCTCGCTATTGCCGATTTATACCCAGAGCCGAGCCAAACCCAATTTATCATATCCCCCTCTCCCCACCGCCCCGCAACATTTTACTCTCCTAGGCTTCTAACCCTGTCCTTTCTCGCCCACGCCTTCCCAGCCTAGCCAAGCCATCATCATCTTTGTTATTCACCTCACCCTCCCTCCTCTCTTCCCCGTGTATCCCCAACCCAAATCTCAGAGCGCTGTTCACCCCGTGACCCCTTGTCCCTTCTGGCGCATTCCATGCTCACTCACTAGGATTTCCCTCCTCAGGCCAACACAACACAGCTTCTGCGCCCATACCAGCCTAATTGTCCACTCGCAAGCTTCACCCCCCACCCCGGCTCCATTCTCTCACCTCCATGTCTGCCTCTCCTATCCCTCCTGTGCATTCCCTACCCACCACCCTCTGCTCCTCTCTCCACTCCCATTTTCCCCTTGCTCTGCCCCTTCTTTCCCCTACCTTCTCCCTGAACCCCATCTCCCTCCAACATCCCTCCCTCTTCTCTCATCGCCGTTCTATCATCTGCTCCTCCTCCTGCTGCTGCTGCTGCCTGTTTTGATCCTCTCTCGCCCCGTCTCCCTCTGCCCTTTCCCCCCCCCCTTCTCATCTTCCCTCTCTTACCTGTCCCTCCCCACATCCTCGACTCTCACCGCTGCCCCTTCCTCCCACTTCTACAATCCCCTTCCTCCCACTTCTACAATCCCCTTCCTCCCACTCCTACAATCCCCTTCCTCCCACCCCTACAATCCCCTTCCTCCCACTTCTACAATCCCCTTCCTCCCACTTCTACAATCCCCTTCCTCCCACTTTTACAATCCCCTTCCTCCCACTCCTACAATCCCCTTCCTCCCACTCCTACAATCCCCTTCCTCCCACTTTTACAATCCCCTTCCTCCCACTCCTACAATCCCCTTCCTCCCACTTCTACAATCCCCTTCCTCCCACTTCTACAATCCCCTTCCTCCCACTTCTACAATCCCCTTCCTCCCACTTCTACAATCCCCTTCCTCCCACTTCTACAATCCCCTTCCTCCCACTCCTACAATCCCCTTCCTCCCACTCCTACAATCCCCTTCCTCCCACTTCTACAATCCCCTTCCTCCCACTCCTACAATCCCCTTCCTCCACTCCTACAATCCCCTTCCTCCCACTTCTACAATCCCCTTCCTCCCACTCCTACAATCCCCTTCCTCCCACTCCTACAATCCCCTTCCTCCCACTTCTACAATCCCCTTCCTCCCACTCCTACAATCCCCTTCCTCCCACTTCTACAATCCCCTTCCTCCCACTTCTACAATCCCCTTCCTCCCACTCCTACAATCCCCTTCCTCCCACTCCTACAATCCCCATCCTCCCACTTCTACAATCCCCTTCCTCCCACTTCTACAATCCCCTTCCTCCCACTCCTACAATCCCCTTCCTCCCACTCCTACAATCCCCTTCCTCCCACTCCTACAATCCCCTTCCTCCCACTGCTACAATCCCCTTCCTCCCACTCCTACAATCCCCTTCCTCCCACTCCTACAATCCCCTTCCTCTCACTCCTACAATCCCCTTCCTCCCACTTCTACAATCCCCTTCCTCCCACTCCTACAATCCCCTTCCTCCCACTCCTACAATCCCCTTCCTCCCACTCCTACAATCCCCTTCCTCCCACTCCTACAATCCCCTTCCTCCCACTCCTACAATCCCCTTCCTCCCACTTCTACAATCCCCTTCCTCCCACTCCTACAATCCCCTTCCTCCCACTCCTACAATCCCCTTCCTCCCACTTCTACAATCCCCTTCCTCCCACTCCTACAATCCCCTTCCTCCCACTTCTACAATCCCCTTCCTCCCACTTCTACAATCCCCTTCCTCCCACTCCTACAATCCCCTTCCTCCCACTTCTACAATCCCCTTCCTCCCACTCCTACAATCCCCTTCCTCCCACTCCTACAATCCCCTTCCTCCCACTCCTACAATCCCCTTCCTCCCACTTCTACAATCCCCTTCCTCCCACTCCTACAATCCCCTTCCTCCCACTCCTACAATCCCCTTCCTCCCACTTCTACAATCCCCTTCCTCCCACTCCTCCAATATTCCCTTTCTGCCCCCCCTCATCTTAATCCCCTCCTCTCCCCCTAACCTCACCCCCCCCCCCCCCCATTTAACTCTTCTCACCTCTTCCCCTCCCACCCCCCGACACTTCTCGGCCACCCTCCCTTTGCCCCCCTCCCTTTGCCCCCCCTCTATTTGCCCCCCTCCCTTTGCCCCCCCTCCATTTGCCCCCCCCTCCCTTTGCCCCCCTCCCTTTGCCCCCCCCTCCATTTGCCCCCCCCTTTGCCCCACTTTGCCCCCCTTTGTCCCCCCTCCTTTTGCCCCCCTCCCTTTGCCCCCCCTCCCTTTGCCCCCCTCCATTTGCCCCCCCTTTGCCCCCCCCTTTGCCCCCCCCCCTTTGCCCGCCCCTCCATTTGCCCCCCCTCCCTTTGCCCCCCCTTTGCCCCCATCCCTTTGCCCCCCTCCCTTTGCCCCCCTTCCCTTTGCCCCCCTCCCTTTGCCCCCCCTCCCTTTGCCCCTCCCCCTTTACCTCACCCCTCCCTTTGCCCCCCCTCCCTTTGCCCCCCCTTTGCCCCCCTCCCTTTGCCCCCCTCCCTTTGCCCCCGTCCCTTTGCCCCTCCCCCTTTACCTCACCCCTCCCTTTGCCTCCCCCCACCTCCCACCCCCCTTTGCCCCCCTCCCTTTGCCCCCCTCCCTTTGCCCCCCTCCCTTTGCCCCCCTCCCTTTGCCCCCCTCCCTTTGCCCCTCCCCCTTTACCTCACCCCTCCCTTTGCCTCCCCCCACCTCCCACCCCCCACCTCCCACTTCTCCAACCCCCCCCTCCTCTTGATCCCCTCCTCTCCCCCTACCCCCCCCCACGATTTGCCTCTCCCCCACCCCCCCCGACCCTTCTCGCCCCCCCCCCCTGCCGGCCCCGCCCTGTGTAGGCGGAAGCGCCGCGGGGCCGCCGTTTCGCTAAGGCGTGCACCGTCGCCACAGCGTCCCACACTCGCCACTCACCACCGCCACTCGCCACTCACCACCGCCACTCACCACCACCACACGCTACCACACGCCACCACCACCACCACTTACTCCTCGCTCCTACAGCAGCAGCGAGCAGCAGCCACAGCTCAGCGCCGTTGCCACGCCAGGGTAAAATGCGCTTCGCCCGCTGCTTACGCACTTTGCCTTTGCTCGCACGCACACACTACACACGTACACACACACCACACGTACACACACGTACACACACCACACCACACACCACACTACACACGTACACACACCACACGTACACACACGTACACACACCACACACACCACACACGTACACACACACCACACTACACACGTACACACACACCACACGTACACACACACTACACACACACATCACACACACACCACACACACACACTACACACCACACACTACACACCACACACTACACACCACACACCACACACACTACACCCCACACACCACACAGACACTACACCACACACACTACACCACACACACTACCCCCACACACACTACACCCCACACACACACACTACACCACACACACTACACCCCACACACACTACACCCCACACACACTACACCACACACACTACACCACACACACTACACCCCACACACACACATACACCCCACACACACTACACCCCACACACACACCACACACACACTACCCCCACACACACTACACCCCACACACACACATACACCCCACACACACTACACCACACACACTACACCCCACACACACTACACCCCACACACACTACACCACACACACTACACCACACACACTACACCCCACACACACACATACACCCCACACACACTACACCCCACACACACACCACACACACACTACACACACACTACACCCCACACCACACACACTACACCCCACACACACACATACACCCCACACACACACTACACCTCACACACACACTACACCACACACACTACACCCCACACACACACTACACCACACACACTACACACCACACACACTACACACCACACACTACACACCACACTACACCACACACACCACACACACACACTACACCACACACACTACACCACACACACTACACACCACACACACTACACACCACACACTACACACCACACTACACCACACACACCACACACACACACTACACCACACCACACTACACCACACACACACACTACACCACACTACACCACACGCGGCATCGCCACCGCCGCACAAACCTCGCGCCACCCCAAGGCGAGCCCGCGGAGCCGCCACGCCGCTTGGCCCACCGCTTGGCCCACCGCACTGTACGCGTGCGTGCTACGACTCTCCGCTGTTGTAACGCCGATCCATCATCATCCATCATCATCATCCATCATCATCATCCATCATCATCGTCGTCGTTCTGATCTAGCGACTCGTCGTCGGCCGTGTACTTTGTGCGAAAGCGTCTCGACCGTGCTCCTCTGTGCCCGCCCGCCCGCCCAGGTTTGACACCCGGGACGTGTTCGTGGTTGGTGGTGGCGGGCGGTCGGTGGAGGATTCGGCCGGGAGGAGAGCCCCAGACACCAACCCACCCACCCAGCCACCTACCTACCTACAACGAACGAAGGGGAAGAGTTAGCGCCCGTGTCCAAGGCCCCTTCTTGCCCACGGCAGGGTCCCCTTGACTGCAGGGGGTGGTGGGTTGGGGGTGTTGGGTGAGGGCGGCGTGCCCGCTACGGAGTGTGTCGGTGAGGGGGCGAGCAGGTCCCGGGGGAGAGTCGAGAGAAGCCGCCGGCTATGGGGAAGATGCAGGGGTTGGCACCTTCAGGGGTGGCCGTGAGCACTGCCCTTGACCACCAACAGCAGCTACAACAGCAGCAGCTGCAACAGCAGCAGCAGCAGCTACAGCAGCCTGTGGTTGGATACTGGCTGAGCGACAAGAAGAGGAAAAAGTTGAACTTTCACGTCTTCGCCGAGCTGTGCAGGTGAGGAGGAGGAGGAGGGGTGGGGGTCTACGTTGTGTTTGTGTGTCAACTCCGTGGTTCATCAGTGTGTGTAGGGTGCGTCTCATCCGGCGCTGGCTTTCATGCTTTTTTTCCCTCTTCTGTTGTGTGACTCGCATGGAGTCACAACACATGGGGGTGTCTCATCTTGTGTGTGTGTGTGTCTTGTGTCTCATCTTGTGTGTGTGTGTCTTGTGTCTCATCTTGTGTGTGTATGTCTTGTGTCTCATCTTGTGTGTGTGTGTCTTGTGTCTCATCTTGTGTGGGTGTGTCTTGTGTCTCATCTTGTGTGTGTGTGTGTCTTGTGTCTTATCTTGTGTGTGTATGTCTTGTGTCTCATCTTGTGTGTGTGTGTCTTGTGTCTCATCTTGTGTGGGTGTGTCTTGTGTCTCATCTTGTGTGTGTGTGTCTTGTGTCTCATCTTGTGTGTGTGTGTCTTGTGTCTCATCTTGTGTGTGTGTGTCTTGTGTCTCATCTTGTGTGTGTGTGTCTTGTGTCTCATCTTGTGTGTGTGTGTCTTGTGTCTTATCTTGTGTGTGTGTGTGTCTTGTGTCTCATCTTGTGTGTGTGTGTCTTGTGTCTCATCTTGTGTGTGTGTCTTGTGTCTCATCTTGTGTGTGTGTCTTGTGTGTGTGTCTTGTGTCTCATTTTGTGTGTGTGTGTCTTGTGTCTCATCTTGTGTGTGTGTCTTGTGTGTGTGTCTTGTGTCTCATCTTGTGTGTGTGTCTTGTGTGTGTGTCTTGTGTCTCATCTTGTGTGTGTGTCTTGTGTGTGTGTCTTGTGTCTCATCTTGTGTGTGTGTCTTGTGTGTGTGTGTCTTGTGTCTCATCTTGTGTGTGTGTCTTGTGTCTCATCTTGTGTGTGTGTCTTGTGTCTTGTGTCTCATCTTGTGTGTGTGTGTGTCTTGTGTCTCATCTTGTGTGTGTGTCTTGTGTCTCATCTTGTGTGTGTGTCTTGTGTCTCATCTTGTGTGTGTGTCTTGTGTCTCATCTTGTGTGTGTGTGTCTTGTGTCTCATCTTGTGTGTGTGTGTCTTGTGTCTCATCTTGTGTGTGTGTGTATTGTGTCTCATCTTGTGTGTCTTGTGTCTTGTGTCTCATCTTGTGTGTGTGTGTGTGTGTCTTGTGTGTGTGTATGTCTTGTGTCTCATCTTGTGTGTGTGTCTTGTGTCTCATCTTGTGTGTGTGTCTTGTGTCTCATCTTGTGTGTGTGTGTGTCTTGTGTCTTGTGTCTCATCTTGTGTGTGTGTCTTGTGTCTCATCTTGTGTGTGTGTGTCTTGTGTCTCATCTTGTGTGTCTTGTGTCTTGTGTCTCATCTTGTGTGTGTGTCTTGTGTCTTGTGTGTGTGTGTCTTGTGTCTCATCTTGTGTGTCTTGTGTCTCATCTTGTGTGTGTGTGTCTTGTGCTCATCTTGTGTGGTGTGTCTTTGTGTCTCATCTTGTGTGTGTGTGTCTTGTGTCTCATCTTGTGTGTGTGTGTCTTGTGTCTCATCTTGTGTGTGTGTGTCTTGTGTCTCATCTTGTGTGTGTGTGTCTTGTGTCTTATCTTGTGTGTGTGTGTGTCTTGTGTCTCATCTTGTGTGTGTGTGTCTTGTGTCTCATCTTGTGTGTGTGTCTTGTGTCTCATCTTGTGTGTGTGTCTTGTGTGTGTGTCTTGTGTCTCATCTTGTGTGTGTGTGTCTTGTGTCTCATCTTGTGTGTGTGTCTTGTGTGTGTGTCTTGTGTCTCATCTTGTGTGTGTGTGTTTGTGTGTGTGTCTTGTGTCTCATCTTGTGTGTGTGTCTTGTGTGTGTGTCTTGTGTCTCATCTGTGTGTGTGTCTTGTGTGTGTGTGTCTTGTGTCTCATCTTGTGTGTGTGTCTTGTGTCTCATCTTGTGTGTGTGTCTTGTGTCTTGTGTCTCATCTTGTGTGTGTGTGTGTCTTGTGTCTCATCTTGTGTGTGTGTCTTGTGTCTCATCTTGTGTGTGTGTCTTGTTGTCTCATCTTGTGGTGTGTGGTCTTGTGTCTCAGTCTTGGTGTGTGTGTGCTTGTGTCTCATCTTGTGTGTGTGTGTATTGTGTCTCATCTTGTGTGTCTTGTGTCTTGTGTCTCATCTTGTGTGTTGTGTGTGTGTGTCTTGTGTGTGTGTATGTCTTGTGTCTCAATCTTGTGTGTTGTGTCTTGTGTCTCAATCTTGTGTGTGTGTCTTGTGTCTCATCTTGTGTGTGTGTGTGTGTCTTGTTGCTTGTGTCTCATCTTGTGTGTGTGTCTTGTGTCTCATCTTGTGTGATGTGGTCTTGGTCTCATCTTGTGTGTCTTGTGTCTTGTGTCTCATCTTGTGTGTGTGTCTTGTGTCTTGTGTGTGTGTGTCTTGTGTCTCATCTTGTGTGTCTTGTGTCTCATCTTGTGTGTGTGTCTTGTGTGTGTGTGTATGTCTTGTGTCTCATCTTGTGTGTGTGTCTTGTGTCTCATCTTGTGTGTGTGTCTTGTGTCTCATCTTGTGTGTGTGTCTTGTGTCTCATCTTGTGTGTGTCTTGTCTCATCTTGTGTGTGTGTGTCTTGTGTCTCATCTTGTGTGTGTGTGTGTCTTGTGTCTCATCTAGTGTGTGTGTGTCTTGTGTCTCATCTTGTGTGTGTCTTGTGTCTCATCTTGTGTGTGTGTCTTGTGTCTCATCTTGTGTGCGTGTCTTGTGTCTCATCTTGTGTGTGTGTGTGTCTTGCGTCTCATCTTGTGTGTGTGTGTCTTGTGTCTCATCTTGTGTGTGTGTGTCTTGTGTCTCATCTTGTGTGTGTGTGTGTCTTGTGTCTCATCTTGTGTGTGTGTCTTGTGTGTCTTGTGTCTCATCTTGTGTGTGTGTGTGTCTTGTGTCTTGTGTGTGTGTCTTGTGTCTCATCTTGTGTGTGTGTGTCTTGTGTCTCATCTAGTATGTGTGTGTGTCTTGTGTCTCATCTAGTATGTGTGTGTGTCTTGTGTCTCATCTTGTGTGTGTGTCTTGTGTCTCATCTTGTGTGTGTGTCTTGTGTCTCATCTTGTGTGTGTGTCTTGTGTATCATCTTGTGTGTGTGTCTTGTGTCTTGTGTCTCATCTTGTGTGTGTGTCTTGTGTGTGTGTGTCTTGTGTCTCATCTTGTCTGTGTGTGTCTTGTGTCTCATCTTGTGTGTGTGTCTTGTGTCTTGTGTCGCATCTTGTGTGTGTGTCTTGTGTCTTGTGTCTCATCTTGTGTGTGTGTCTTGTGTCTCATCTTGTGTGTGTGTCTTGTGTCTCATCTTGTGTGTGTGTCTTGTGTCTCATCTTGTGTGTGTGTCTTGTGTCTCATCGTGTGTGTGTGTCTTGTGTCTCATCTTGTGTGTGTGTCTTGTGTCTCATCTTGTGTGTGTGTGTTTTGTGTCTCATCTTGTGTGTGTGTGTCTTGTGTCTCATCTTGTCTGTGTGTGTGTGTGTCTTGTGTCTCATCTTGTGTGTGTGTGTGACTTGTGTCTCATCTTGTGTGTGTGTGTGACTTGTGTCTCATCTTGTGTGTGTGTGTGTCTTGTGTCTCATCTTGTGTGTGTCTTGTGTCTCATCTTGTGTGTGTCTTGTGTCTCATCTTGTGTGTGTGTGTCTTGTGTCTCATCTTGTGTGTGTCTTGTGTCTCATTTTGTGTGTGTGTGTGTGTCTTGTGTCTCATCTTGTGTGTGTGTGTGTGTCTTGTGTCTCATCTTGTGTGTGTGTCTTGTGTCTCATCTTGTGTGTGTGTGTGTCTTGTGTCTCATCTTGTGTGTGTGTGTCTTGTGTCTTGTGTCTCATCTTGTGTGTGTGTCTTGTGTCTCATCTTGTGTGTGTGTGTGTGTCTTGTGTCTCATCTTGTGTGTGTCTTGTGTCTCATCTTGTGTGTGTCTCACGTCTCATCTTGTGTGTGTGTGTCTAGTGTCTCATCTTGTGTGTGTGTCTTGTGTCTCATCTTGTGTGTGTGTGTCTTGTGTCTCATCTGGTGTGTGTGTGTCTTGTGTCTCATCTTGTGTGTGTGACTTGTGTCTCATCTTGTGTGTGTATTGTGTCTCATCTTGAGTGTGTGTGTCTTGTGTCTCATCTTGTGTGTGTCTTGTGTCTCATCTTGTGTGTGTCTTGTGTATTGTGTCTCATCTTGTGTGTGTGTGTGTCTTGTGTCTCATCTTGTGTGTGTGTCTTGTGTCTCATCTTGTGTGTGTGTGTCTTGTGTCTCATCTTGTGTGTGTGTCTTGTGTCTCATCTTGTGTGTGTGTGTCTTGTGTCTCATCTTGTGTGTGTGTGTCTTGTGTCTCACAAGACACACACACACACCCGCAGTCAAAATGCAAACAAAAAACATACTATGATAATATATGATGATTGCTTGTGTTGCAGTCGAAACGTCGTGAGAATTTTATTGACTTCTATTTGAATTATTTTATTGTTTCCCTTCTACGTGACTTTACCGAAAGCACCAATAATAATATATGATGCATTGTCCTTGAAACTGATTGGTCCACGCCAAGGGACGGCTTTCTTTTGAGCCTCGTCCCAATTGGTGCTCGACCAGATGACTTTGTTTGTCGTCCCTTAACTTTGACGAGAGAGAGAGAGACGCCTTATTCACATTGCGTGTTGAGAGAGAGAGACGCCTTATTCACATTGCGAGTTGACGAGAGAGAGACGCCTTATTCACATTGCGAGTTGACAAGAGAGAGACGCCTTATTCACATTGCGAGTTGACGAGAGAGAGAGAGACGCCTTATTCACATTGCGAGTTGACGAGAGAGAGAGAGACGCCTTATTCACATTGCGAGTTGACGAGAGAGAGACGCCTTATTCACATTGCGTGTTGAGAGAGAGAGAAACGCCTTATTCACATTGCGAGTTGACAAGAGAGAGAGAGACGCCTTATTCACATTGCGAGTTGACGAGAGAGAGAGAGACGCCTTATTCACATTGCGAGTTGACGAGAGAGAGACGCCTTATTCACATTGCGAGTTGACGAGAGAGAGACGCCTTATTCACATTGCGTGT